AACTTCGAAATAACGAGTCAATACACGTGGACACAGAACAGGTCGGTTCAACTTCGAAATAATAGGTCAATACACGTGGATACAGAGCAGGTCAGTTCAACTTCGAAATAATAGGTCAATACACGTGGATACAGAACAGGTCGGTTCAACTTCGAAATAATAGGTCAATACACGTGGATACAGAACAGGTCGGTTCAACTTCGAAATAATAGGTCAATACACGTGGATACAGATCAGGTCAGTTCAACTTCGTAATAACTCATCAATACAAGTGGATAAAGAACGGGTCAGTTCAACTTCGAAATAACGGGTCAATACACGTGGATACAGAACAGGTCAGTTCAACTTCGAAATAATAGGTCAATACACGTGGATACAGAACAGGTCAGTTCAACTTCGAAATAACGGGTCAATACACGTGGAAACAGATCAGGTCAGTTCAACTTCGAAATAATAGGTCAATACACGTGGATACAGAACAGGTCAGTTCAACTTCGAAAAAATAGGTCAATACACGTGGATACAGAACGGGTCAGTTCAACTTCGAAATAACGGGTCAATACACGTGGAAACAAATCAGGTCAGTTCAACTTCGAAATAATAAGTCAATACACGTGGATACAGAACAGGTCAGTTCAACTTCGAAATAATAGGTCAATACACGTGGATACAGAACGGGTCAGTTCAGCTTCGAAATAACGGGTCAATACACGTGAAAACAGATCAGGTCAGTTCAACTCCGAAATAGCTCATCAATACAAGTGGATAAAGAACGGGTCAGTTCAACTTCGAAATAACGGGTCAATACACGTGGATACAGAACAGGTCAGTTCAACTTCGAAATAATAGGTCAATACACGTGGATACAGAACAGGTCAGTTCAACTTCGAAATAACGGGTCAATACACGTGGTGGAGTTCAACTTCGAAATAATAGGATACAGAACAGGTCAGTTCAACTTCGAAATAATAGGTCAATACACGTGGATACAGAACAGGTCAGTTCAACTTCGAAATAATAGGTCAATACACGTGGATACAGAACGGGTCAGTTCAACTTCGAAATAATAGGTCAATACACGTGGATACAGAACAGGTCAGTTCAACTTCGAAATAACGGGTCAATACACGTGGATACAGAACAGGTCAGTTCAACTTCGTAATAACGGGTCAATACATGTGGATACAAATCAGGTCAGTTCAACTTCGTAATAACTCATCAATACAAGTGGATAAAGAACGAGTCAGTTCAACTTCGAAATAACGGGTCAATACACGTGGAAACAGATCAGGTCAGTTCAACTTCGAAATAACGGGTAAATACACGTGGATACAGATCAGGTCAGTTCAACTTCGTGATAACTCATCAATACAAGTGGATAAAGAACGGGTCAGTTCAACTTCGAAATAACGGGTCAATACACGTGGATACAGAACAGGTCAGTTCAACTTCGAAATAATAGGTCAATACACGTGGATACAGAACAGGTCAGTTCAACTTCGAAATAACGGGTCAATACACGTGGAAACAGATCAGGTCAGTTCAACTTCGAAATAATAGGTCAATACACGTGGATACAGAACAGGTCAGTTCAACTTCGAAAAAATAGGTCAATACACGTGGATACAGAACGGGTCAGTTCAACTTCGAAATAATAGGTCAATACACGTGGAAACAGATCAGGTCAGTTCAACTTCGAAATAGCTCATCAATACAAGTGGATAAAGAACGGGTCAGTTCAACTTCGAAATAACGGGTCAATACACGTGGATACAGAACAGGTCAGTTCAACTTCGTAATAACGGGTCAATACATGTGGATACAAATCAGGTCAGTTCAACTTCGTAATAACTCATCAATACAAGTGGATAAAGAACGGGTCAGTTCAACTTCGAAATAACGGGTCAATACATGTGGATACAGAATAGGTCAGTTCAACTTCGAAAAAATAGGTCAATACACGTGGATACAGAACAGGTCAGTTCAACTTCGAAATAATAGGTCAATACACGTGGATACAGAACAGGTCAGTTCAACTTCGAAATAACGGGTCAATACACGTGGATACAGAACAGGTCAGTTCAACTTCGTAATAACGGGTCAATACATGTGGATACAAATCAGGTCAGTTCAACTTCGTAATAACTCATCAATACAAGTGGATAAAGAACGAGTCAGTTCAACTTCGAAATAACGGGTCAATACATGTGGATACAGATCGGGTCAGTTAATCTTCGAAATAACACATCAATACACGTGGAAACAGAACAGATCAGTTCAGCTTCGAAATAAAAGATTAATATACGTGGATCCAGAACAGGTCAGTTTAACTTCGAAATAACGGCTTAATACACGTGGATACAGAACAGGTCAGTACAACTTCGAAATAACACGTCAATACACGTGGACACAGAACAGGTCGGTTCAACTTCGAAATAACGAGTCAATACACGTGGACACAGAACAGGTCGGTTCAACTTCGAAATAACTGGTCAATACACGTGGATACAGAATAGGTCAGTTCAACTTCGAAATAACTGGTCAATACACGTGGATACAGAGCAGGTCAGTTCAACTTCGAAATAACTGGTCAATACACGTAGATGCAGAACAGGTCAGTTCAACTTCGAAATAACACGTCACAAAAACGCTTGGTTATTATATATGTTATTATTTTCCAGAAATTACTAAACCAGTTGCTGAAGCTCGTGTTTATGTGGCTTTTGGAAGAAGAGTACTCGAATGGAAGAAATACAAGCTTTTTTTACTTACTTAGAAGACTATGCTATAAACAGATTGATTATTTATACAAATCTACATTCCAAAAAACATTTTCTATAAATCTGGCACAAATGTGAGAGACGTGAATTCACATACACAATATCATCATTAGAAAACAAGTACGCGGTAGATTAGTAAGAATCAATGGTGAAGCAGGTTTCATAAACCTGAGACATGTTGAAATAAATGAACATAATTCAAACAGCGGCACAAGTTCAGTTAACTCGAGCTGAAATATTAAGTCTGTTTTTTATAAGTCTCACACTTTGTATTCTTTGACTATTTATTTTCTGCTATTCCTTAAGGAGTCGTTCTGGATTAATTTCTAAATCGATTTATATGTACACATACTGGTATGAAAAGTTCGATAAATGTGTCGAATGTGATAGTCCAGAATGCTTACATGCACAACTTGTCTGTATCATTAAGAATGACGTAAGGTGGCGGTGAGATTAAATGACGGTCGATACAGGGAATATAAAACATATCTACATGTACTAATCAGAAGTTTACACTCTATATCTCCGAGTGCACGTGCCTCCTTTATTTCAAAATTATTGAATCCTAGTTGATTAGTAACTAATTTCCTTTTCTTCATTGTTTCAGACTAATAGTTAGCGTAACATATATAGTTAAGGGTTGGAGATTTAAAAAAGGGGTTATCTAAAACACTATGAGTTATTGTTAAATGCAAAAGCGGCTGATTTCCAAGTTTAGTAGAATTTGTTATTTCTTCTAAAATTTCAATTTAACAAACCAAAATGTGATGTTAAAGATGTCGGTGATTCTTGCTCGTTGTCAACGTTAATTAAGATACATTATTGAATAGCTAATTCCAGGCTCTGCAAGCCTCGTGGTGGATGTATTGTACTATTTTCTTTTGCAAATTATCGAACTTTTGTCTAATTTAGCATATGAAACGAATGAAGTGTGAGTAGCTTCAATGAAACATTACATTCATTCATTATTAGTGGAGTTAATTGGCGTTCAGCGTCAGTAAAATGGCGACACACCATCTATCAGCAACTCAGAGATAAATTAAACAAACGATCATAGTGTGGAAAAGAACGTGCGACGCGCATGCATTCTTATAGATATCCAGTACACGTTACAACAATGTCGTTGGTTCAGCAAGATTTTAAGATCACAAGTATTGAGAAAAGGTCACAAAATAAACAGCAGACTGTTTTAAATTCTTTCTCTGTACAAACTTGTCCTGAGCTATGACGTCACAGACTTTTACCGTCGTACAAGTATAAGATTTGAACATCACATATGCTATATTTGTCGACGCCAAATTTTAGTCATAATATGAAACCCTAAGCAATGTTAATACTTGCTGATAAAGAGCTGCTTAGCAATATTTTAGTAACTTATTGAACATTAGGTCCTGGAATTGAAAAATACATTTACCATGATCAAACACTATGATTTGACCCTTAAAGTAATGGCCGAGTAATTCTTCAGCAAGAATTTGACAAGAACGATCAGACACGGGATTTATTTACCTTAATTATACATGTTTAACTACTTCACAGTTAATGAAACTACAGGGTGCGAAGACAATGTCGCTACATCTTCATAACAACCAACTGTTCTCCTAAAACACGATATTCGTAAAAAGATCCAGACACATTACAGTATAGGGATATTATTGTCTTATAAACAACACAACAAAACCAACACCTCTGATGAAATAGGTTTTTTTTTACATTAAATATGAGCACGACTTGGTTCTCACCGTGCTTGTTTAATAACAGATGACCCCCTGAGATAGTTTTGTGTAATTTATCCATAACTAGTTTGTTAGAGGCGAATTCTAGACAGACGAAGGATAGAATGTCACGGGGCTCCGGCACTTATACCTAATTAATGGGTACAAAACATTATAATCGTTCATATCAAATTATAAATACTTCTGTCCATTACAAAAAGGATTGAGAAGTTGGTCAGGATCAAGTGTAATAATTATATTGTGTGTAAATCCGTGTAATAGATAGGTGGATAGCCCACGACGAAGGCAGGGAGAATTAGACGGGTATTTGTAGTTTGTGTAAAGCTTATTTCTCAGGACGGGTATCGACTTTCAAAGCCATCTATATATCACCGGTGACCTTTTAGATAGTGTCAATGTTAAATAGTCGAAATTATCTTCTTGACTATGCAGTACCATTGTATAGAGCCAATGCAATCGTTCTAACGTAATCTGTCATTCTGACCCTATCCTCATGCCTCCCTAACAGATCCCACACGGCGAAGACAAGCTCAGCTTTATAATACCTGTAAAATATATCCATGGATTTAATATCAGTCCTGGATAACTTTATACATGTAACTTGTCCATTATTTCATCTTAGAGTCGACGAGGAGACGGTATTTTGTAATTTACCAGTATCTGACTTGTTTCCCGGACCGTGTATATGTAATAGCGAGCCGAGATATTGTACAGTTTATGTTGCAATATTTATGTAAGAATGTCGTAAACTTTAACATAGTTGATGTAAATTTCAATTAAATCCTCTACGTCAGTGACCCGGTGATGACTTATACAGGTGAAAACAAGAAACCCCTACCCCATTCTCCTTATGACTACACATGTCCCCACCAATAGCATCCTGCCTTACAAGCACCTCATCTCTATTCTACAGCTCCCCCTCAGAGCAAAGATTTGTTTTAACATTGGCTATAAATACGAATGAAGGCAGGTGGCAACATGGACGGTTGCAGAAAAACAACAAACCGTAATAAATTTCTTGGTTGTCATGAAAACTAGCATTCCTTGGGTTTGTTTACATTTAATGATTATTTTGTGATTAAAGCAAGCTTCAGAAGACTGGTATAGAGGCTCTTTGATCTCTAAGGTGAAAGGAGAAACGCCATTTTGTTTTTGGCAAAATTGGTTTTCAAGACTATTATGTTATCATTACATATGAGATGTGCAACTTCAGACGGCGTGATGTGACCTGAATAATTTAGTCGAATGTACCACACATTGAGAGTTAACGGTGTGAGCCTAACAAGTTCACACCAGCTGACCTTTAAAACTTTATTGAAATATCTTAAAGCTCCTTTACTGTATAAAGTATTGATCCAGGTATATTTTACATGGTATGTGAGGTCGGATAATGATGCACATACGCTCGGAGGTAAACCGTTTCTAAATCAGTTTTTACGGCGAGATGGCATCGTGATGCATTGAGATTTGCATTGAAAGATGATGTCAGTGCGCGTTTCTGTAAAACTGGCGCTAACCGCACTTGGTGTGACCGGTTACGGTCTTATGCTTCACGTTATGATATTTCGGACTGATGACGCTGTAATGGCGATGTCAATAGCCCTTCATTTCAGTTTTACTGGAGTGTAGGCAAGCAAACAAAATATCACAATACTGACAGATGGTGATACAACAAAAGGCGTGTAAAAAGAAAATTGTAACAACGATGAAAAAACCAGTCCAAAATTGTTTTGTAAATTTGTTAATAATTTTGGAAACTGGATTTTTAGCCATTCTTTGGCTTTACTTTACCAATTGTCTTTGTAATACCTTTTCCAGAAAGGCATGTTTTATGAATAGTAAGCTTTAACATCGTTGTTGTCCGTGAAGACTGGTTTGAATCTTTTAGGAGACGGTTAAATAATGCATGTGACGTATCTCATTGCATGTCATTCGGAGGCGACTAACTGTGGGGCGCCCTCTACAGATCGAATTCGGTTTCTCTGTTAAGGAAATATGGGAAATGCGCTGTAAAGTCGTGTCAGGTGTATTCTGTATTCCATTGTACTTCCGTAAAGTAAAAGTTGTGAGTTTCACCCATATATTCTACTTAAGGGACATGAGGTTTCCCCGATGTTTTCTGGCCAGTTAACATCGGAGAGTCCAGGGATATTGTATGCCAAGAGGCACTTTAAAGTGACCCCCTATAGCATCGTTTTGTTCGTCCGTGTCCTATACTAAATGGACACTGAAAAGACCAAAATAGACTGCTGTCCCATATTGCAACACTTGATACTTACTTTTCTTTTCTTTCTTTTTGTTATTTATTTTCTACACCTGACCCCATATGACCGTGGCTGTTGGGAGGACGTTAAACTCCGCCGAAAAAAACTCGTATGTCTAATTGTACGTGACTATGATACCATTTCCGGGATGGCGATTTCCCATCATTGTATGTTCCAGACGAAAGTAATCCGAATTTTTTTTAGAGCTGTGTTTGGATGTGAAATATGGCTTAGCGTTTATTAATTAACTAGAGATCCCAATTTGGAAGTATTTCAAACATTCAAACGTAAGATTTGCTTTTTCCATCATCATCACTTACACTGACTCAACAAAACAACAACACAATGCTAGACCGACGTTCCTAACCGTGAAATAATCACAGTAAAACGGGTTTGTACAATTTAACATTTCTTACACATAATTGCCTGACTAAGACTACTAGGCGTATTAAGTTAGCGGCCATATTGACGAGTGTTAGCCGACAATGCCAACCTGCTTCATTTCCATATTTTATTGTTCGAGAACTGGGATAGATCAGGGATAGCAATTAGATATATGTTTGGATGGGACGTGTCGACAAGTATGCTTAGCTACAGCAGACTAGTTATGTGGAGGAGAGGGTCACAAATCAGTCTTCCTTCACCCCCTCCCATGATCTTATACACAGTATTGATTGTGGTACAGTAAGGCCACAGGGATCATTAAATATCAACTTAGTATAGCGATCGTACTGACCACAAATAACTGATGGGACCGAAAAGTTTCATTGAAATTTATAACCAATCACTAAACCGTATAATTATATAGGCAGATATGTACGAGGTAGTCCGAACAGCAGACAAGGACCATCGGAACACGTGATTTTTACAAAGGTTTATCCCACATCACTAACGATAAAAAGTCTACACACAGAGCAGTTGTGAGCTATGTAGTCCGTATTTATGTACATATATACATCTGCACGTGCTGTGGAACTCTTCTGGCGGCATTTCACATTTATGTAAATTTGGCAGTCACTCAAATAAATAATCTTTAATCTATACGGTACTGTAAGAACAGACATAGCTGTATATTTACTATAGAATAACTTCCGTCAGCACAACTGAATATAGTTCATATCCAAATCATAAATGTCCCTTACATCTCCTCCGGGGAGGCCGGGTCGGATTATCCGTGTTGGCGTTTACAGATATCATACCGAAAATTCGGGGGAGGAAATGCAGTGCTTATTTTATCAGCTAGTTAATCAAAGCTCAGAATCGGGAAATATGTGATTATCAGCTCAAAATAGAGATATGTCATCTATAATGAAAATTGTTGACAAGCACAGCGTCAGAATTACCACAAATTACATAGAAATATTTCGCACATCTAGTTAGATTTGACGGAATTTTGGCACCTGACCGCTCCGGCTGTTACAAACCTCCCTGTTCTAATCTCTTTGATTTATAAGAAAACAAAAATGGAGGCTGTCAGTTACAAACGAAATATTTGTTTTAACAGCTGCTGATTTCTCGACTATATTATTTTTGTTACATTTCTAGCCGGAATGTGAAAGTGAAAAATGAAAACATTCTGATATAGTGGTAATGATATATGGTACGCAGATTCTACACAGATAGATTGACATGCTTCGCCAAACGATTTGTTGAAACGTTCGTACGTGCCTCTGACTCAGTGTCAGTAAATTTTATATCGTATTGTTTGAATATTTATAACAGATCATGGTTTCCCTGTTAGTCCCTAATTTGCTCTGATTGTCGGTCAAACCAAGCTATTGATATAAGCTTACTCTTTGTTCCTCAAAAGCTTGTACATTTTTATCTTTTTACAAGTGTTTGTTTTTCTTGCGGTCCGATGATAACATCTTCAGAATAAGCGGAAGAACTTGAAGTAATCATTGACATGGGATGAACTCTGTAGCAGAAAGTCTAAAAGGACCAATAAACCCCAAAATCTTTATTCAGGTATTTAAGATAGGTGCGAATGTCTACATTATACAATAAAACTGTACACGTACCATATAGAAAATGTCTGAGATTTATTGGTGGTATTGGCTAATAGTTGTCTGGATAACTCAAACACCACCCCACCCCCGCCATCACTGTCACTCCTGAAGATAAAGTGTTTGACCTTGTGGGGTTGGAACATACCAGCAATTACTGCTGTTAGATCGCACGTGCATGTGTGGAAATCCATGCTAAGCACGTGCATGTACGAGACGTTTGTTAAAAAGATAACAAAGTGTCACCATTATGTTAATATATACTGTATGTTTACCGACGTCCAACAGTCAATAGGTGTCATAGCCAATATAATTGACCGAGAATCCAAAATAGTTTAATGACGTAGAATCTGGAATAATGTTTCCGGTAAGTTATCAAAAAAGTTTTAACATTAAAATAAAAACGTCAACTTTGTATTGTAATGAAGTATGTACCTCTAAGATAACAAAGTATTCGTTGTCTGGTTCTGTTTATGATACTGGGCACTCTGGATACTCTAGAAATACTGAAAGTGGTTGATAAGCTTTGTCGGGATCATTGCCTACGTAACGCATTGACCTTTCACCTTGCCGTCCGGGATTCGATTCCGTGAAAAAAAGGCGGGGTCATCTGCCCGACCAAGGGTTTTTTAAACGGGTACTCTGTTTCCCTCCTACAATGAGACCCGTCGCGCGCTTCCATCCAGACCAACAAGAGTAATTAGTATTAGCTGAAATAACTTGTTTCCCAATTGTTATAAAATAAGTTTATATTTACATGAATCTTTCCGTGTTCAGTGCCGAGATCCGCCCAGTATCGCATATTACAGAAACTATTAACTGAGAGATTCTCTTTGGACCAGAGTTTCTTTCTGGATATAACACCAACGCTGTACACTAAAACAACGTTTGTAATCCTTTCTATGTTTCAAAGACTTCTGCAGTTCAGGGAGCTTCATTTCAAACACCTTCGTTCAATTATTTTTAGATTTGGCAAAGTTATTTAAAACATCCTGAATACCAGACCCTTGTACCAGATTTGTTTCATTTTCATTCCCAGCTTGAGTTATCAGAAGGTTCTTACAAAACTTGAAGGTGTAAACTTTGGATCAGGAAGTGATGGTGAAAGTGATGTGGGGAATGATGCGGGAACGAGTGCGGGAAGGTATATGGGACGAGAAGTTCTGTTGGAACTGGTCCGGGAAATTGTAAGGAAATGCATTTTAAAACTACATTGCTTTCCAATTATTAAAATTCCAAATGTCCAGGAATGTTTTACATGATGGCGTATACCAAGAAATGGAGATATCATTTCAACAATAGTATTTTTGCAAACTCATTGTTATTTGATATACTCAATTCCACTCCAGGAATTAGATCGGGATGCATATTCCGTGATTGAGTAAATAACTTTCGGAAACATATCTTTTTATATCTGTATAACATAATTTTAAGATTAATAATGTATTTATTGATAATTTCGTGTCGTCTCGTGGAACATCAAGATGGCGTCTAGGACATCAGTCCATTGAATACAGTGAAAGATGTGTTACAGCGAAACAACATTAAGTTATATCTATAAAAACACGACAAAATGAAATCTATCTTTTAACAATTTAATTTCTTCTTTGTCATGCTATGTATACAACAACCAGGAGTTTGTATGACCAGTTTCTACCTGAATAAAACAACTATATATTAAACTTATCCGTTCTGTATCCGTGGGTATTTTCCCGGCCTAATGATATGACATTTAAGGTAGCGAAATGCCGAAAATTGATATCAGAAAAATGTGGACATATTATAATGTACATGGTTTGTATTACAACTCCTAACAATTAATAACATGAATATTGTCTTCAAAGATTATTGAAAAAAAAAACAACCCCAAAACAATACTACCTACTGCGTGTTTTTATTTCCATGGGTACACGAGGTGCTTTTCCCGCCAAATTGACCATTCATTCACAGTTCACACGTCAGTCATACACTGTTACTACCGCTGGAGTCTGTAATTTTTGGTATTTATACAACAGTGTTGTCAGTGTGGTTTTTTTTTTTTTTTGTTTTTTGTGTGTGTGAGTGAAATGTGGCACTGTAAATCGGTCCTCATAACAGAAATGGAAATTGAAGCCAGGTGTGGATTAGACTGGTTGAATAACACCCGCCTTATATGGTAGAAGCAGTCTTGCTTCATTTTAATTTGTATAATATTACGTAATGATATAGAGGGATGATAATGTGGTCTAGATTGCTCAAATATAAAAACTAGCAGTTAATGAAAATTCAAATGGTTGCCACTAAAAAAACACTCAAAGTATATCATTCTCATTTGTCTTATCTACTGCTGTGAAAGGATAAAGAATCCTCTCTATTTTGTCTAATTCATGCTTGAAAACTTTCATCAAACACTGCTTATCTGTACCCAGCCTTTGAACAACCGGACCTGGTTTGTTAATAGAACATTATAGATGAAATAATACAAGGTATTTGTTACAGTGTTTACCATATAGGAATTTTCCAGTGATTATGTAACTTCGTCGTTTTGACCAACCAAAGCAGCAATGGAATTTCCTATTCAAACTCAAATTTCCTTTAGATAAACCATGTGTACATTTATGGTTTTCCCTTATTTGGTATATAAAACATTTTGTAAGTTATTCTTACCATATAACAGCATCAAATGGTGGAACACAACGTAAAGCATCCATATATTATCTGATAAATGTAATTTTTTTATATAGTTTTCCATTGTGAGTGTCACATAGACTGATATCGTTGGAATCGCAGGAATCACGTGGTCTGATGATATTGTTAACGTGAGATCACATGACTTGACAATATCATGAGCGGGAATTCAGAAGGTCTGAAATCGATAGCGGGAATTCACGCGGCCCGGTACCAGCATTAGTGGGAATTACGTGCTCTGTTGGTGTGGTGATATCAACGGGACACAACGTGGTCAGACGATATTGTTAACGAGGAATCACGTGATCTGATGACAACTCTTCAAGTCTGTCTTTAGTGTTCGTTTGACAATGTTCCACGATAAAAGACATCGTTTAATATTTCTACATCGTTCGTTCTCTGTTCAGTAGTAACAGTTAACGAAACATGAAAGACATCATAATCATCACTTTACAGTCATCCGGGACCCCAATGTTTCTTTGGTACTCGTGTTTCCAAATTTTATTAATATCCAGGTCTCGACAATTCCTAGTGTCGACAATAATTTACATCACGATAATCCCCCAGTTTCTAGTGTCGACAATAATCTCCGTCACGATAATCCCCCAGTTCCTAGTGTCGACAATAATCTACGTCACGATAATCCCCCAGTTCCTGGTGTCGACAATAATCTACGTCACGATAATCCCCCAGTTCCTAGTGTCGACAATAATCTACGTCACAATAATTCCCCAGTTCCTAGTGTCGACAATATTCTACATCACGATAATCCCACAGTTCCTTGTGTCGACAATAATCTACCTCACGATAATCCCCCAGTTCCTGGTGTCGACAATAATCTACGTCACGATAATCCCCTAGTTCCCAGTGTCGATAATAATCTACGTCACGATAATCCCCCAGTTCCTAGTGTCGACAATAATCTACGTCACGATAATCCCCCAGTTCCTGGTGTCGACAATAATCTACGTCACGATAATCCCCCAGTTCCCAGTGTCGATAATAATCTACGTCACGATAATCCCCCAGTTCCTAGTGTCGACAATAATCTACGTCACGATAATCCCCCAGTTCCTAGTGTCGACAATAATCTACGTCACGATAATCCCCCAGTTCCCAGTGTCGACAATAATCTACGTCACGATAATCCCCCAGTTCCTAGTGTCGACAATAATCTACGTCACGATAATCCCCCAGTTCCCAGTGTCGACAATATTCTACGTCACGATAATCCCCCAGTTCCTGGTGTCGACAATAATCTACGTCACGATAATCCCCCAGTTCCTAGTGTCGACAATAATCTACGTCACGATAATCCCCCAGTTCCCAGTGTCGACAATAATCTACGTCACGATAATCCCCCAGTTCCTAGTGTCGGCAATAATCTACGTCACGATAATCCCCCAGTTCCCAGTGTCGACAATAATCTACGTCACGATAATCCCCATGTTCCTAGTGTCGACAATAATCTACGTCACGATAATCCCCCAGTTCCTAGTGTTGACAATATTCTACGTCACGATAATCCCCATGTTCCTGGTGTCGACAATATTCTACGTCACGATAATCCCCAGTTCCCAGTGTCAACAATCCACGTGAAGATAAATCCCCAGTTCCCATGGACCATTGACTGACGATATAAAACCTTAGTGAAGATGATAGGTTTATTTGTTCAATATTATAAGTGGCGGTTGTTCTACATTGGGTCACCACACTAAATCTTGGTCGGCTAATCTATACCTTTGTATTACAATACGTCGCCCATGTAAGTATACATGATACTTTTTACACCCAAGTCTCTATATGTATTTAAAACATGTAAGGAAACTGTATATATCCACAGTAATTATAATGTCCGCGAATTTCTCTTAATAAAATTCAAGAAAAAGTTTAGACTTATAATTAAACTTGGTTATATTTGCATAACTGAACAATTATCTTTCGGTAATGACCATTTTCTCTGACGTCATCGGCAGACGAATGCGACCCTAACATTAAACACGTGATTTAATCCAGCGTTTGGCTCACATTAAATTGTCGTCGTTTAGACGCTACTTATAACACACGTTTTTTAAATCTCATCCCGATAGATGGCGTGTCTTCAAACATACATCCATACTTAACCCGAAATTTCTCTGTCAGAGACATGGTTGCGCAAGATCACTTTTCAAAGAAGGGCCATACTTTTTAATATACATTTTGCATGTGATCACGTGATGCAATGAACCGTATCGAGTTAAATCATCTGAAATTTGTGTCCTGCGGTATTTGATTTGAACAATGGCTTGTTCTTGTTTACTAACAGCATGTATTAAAACCAGTTTGTTCTGTTCTGTTCTACTTTTCATAACCTAAGGATGCAAAATTGCACATTTTTCAAAATCAGAACGTTTTAGCTCGGAGATAATTATCTCTAGATCTGTTCTATAATCTCCAGTACAATTAGCTCCAAGCTTCGTTAACGCACCAGAATTTCATATGGATAATATTCCGATAAATATTCAAATGATTATAATATGTATGTGTG